GTCATAACATAACTCCAGGCAAGATATTGGGGACTCACTGCAGGGATCCCTGGCCTGGGGAAAGAGTTGTTTCAATCATGGCTTCCCCTGTATGCTGCTTGTCCCCTCCCTTCTTGTCTTCTTAATTGATTTCTCCAGTAAAGTTTCAACACTTTTCATTCAGCATTTGTCAGAAAGCCTAATGAGGCACTTGCCTACAGACTCCTTTCCCCTACAGTTTGATCTGAGCTGTGTGGTTTAAGTCTTAGGTGTATTTACTCACTACAAAAAAAAAAACACCTAGTTTTTGGCAGTGTTGTGAATGAAAGCTGGGGCCTTGTGTATATTAATTAGGCAAGTGCTCTACCACCGAGCTATAGCATAGCCTATCAAAATGTTGTTTGTATACCAATGATGCATGGTGTATCTAATAGATGCCAACCTCTTGTTTACAGTAAGCGAAGAACTGCAAGTATACACACAATGATAAGAGAAAAGGCAGCCACATTTAATGAAAGATAGTGGGAAGATGTGCTCAGGCAGGTCTTTGCCAACAGAAACAAAAAGCAATAAACCGAAAAGTGTCAGGATGACACGGAAGTAAAAACCACAAATCAAGGCTCATGGATTTTAAAGATGTGCCTTGCAGCCCAGTTGTCTCATTGGGTCTCTGATAAGACTGACAGGAATGACTCACAGGAGCTCCCAACACGCATGCCTGTCCCAGCATCCACTGATTAAATTACATACATGGGATGCAGTCCATATTTATGTAATTTATTAAATTGCATACATGAGACGCAAACCATTAATATGGTTTGAGAGGAGGGTAATTGAAGGCCAGGCCAGGTGTTCTAACATGCATGTGTTCAGGCCTAGAGCTTCAGAGATTTTGTGAGTCTTTATTATTTCTATTTCTGCCTTTCTTAGAACAGGGTTGACCCTGGAGTGTTGCCCAAAGTCAGGTGAGTGAAGGGGGAATGGTTTTCCAGCCCCAATTGTGCCACCTGTACTACCGAGACAATTTTTACTTGTGAGTAGAGCTGAAGTTCAGTGATAGAGCATGTTTAGCATGTGCAAAATCCAAGGCTTGATTCTAACAACAAAGTCTACTGCCATACCATCCTGAACATGCCTGGTGCCGGCTGCCAGATCTCATCTGATTCTAGCACCACAAAAGCTTAAATATCAGTGCTTTTTATGGGGATCCTCTCTGTTTCTGCTTCTAGCAATCCTGAGCTTGGGAATTTGAGCTTGGATGTTGAATTTTAAAAAATCAGGGCATTTTAGACCTATCACCAGATATTACCTAATAACCACAGCTATATGAAAATTCAAAACAATTTTTTTTCTTTGCAGTACTTGGGATTAAACCTAGAGACACTATGCCACTGAGGTACATCCTAAGCTCCATTTTATTTTTAGGTTTCTTTTTTCTTTTGGTCGTACTAGGGGTTGAACCCAGGACATTCACACTGAACTCTCTATCCCTACCCTTTTTTATTTCAAGACAGGATCTCACTATACTATTAAATTGTCTAGGCTGAGTTTGAACTTGTGACCTTCCTACCTCAGCTTTCCAGAGTACTGAAACTACAGGTATGGGCCATTATACCTGACACTGTGTTTTTTTTGCAGGTTTTAAATTTTGTAGCACCTGGTAAGCATGAGGTCCTGAGTTTGATTCCTGGTACCCCCTAAATATTTTATTGGTACATTTTAGATCTACAAAATGATTGTGTTCATCATAGGAAATTTGTACCTGCACATGATATATCTTGCTGCTTCTTTTTTTCCCATTCCCCTATCCTCCCTTCAACCCTGCTTCCCCTCCATATTTACAAAAGTTTTGTTTCCATTTTTCCTTCTATTCTTTTTCTTGTCCTTTTCTTCCTTTCCCCTTCCCCACTCCCCTTCTCATTAGAACATTTACTTCTCATTTCATTTTGGTCCTTATATACACTTTCAATTTCTCACACAGAGAAATAATGTCTTTTTTTAAAACAAGTGTGTCTGATTTATTTCACTTAAGAGTATGGTCTCAAGGTGCATACATTTAGCTAGTGTATCCTTCTTTATGGCTGAGTAATACTCCATTACATTAAAAAAACCCACATCTTCCTTATCCATTCATTGGTTGATGGGCATTTGGGCTGTTTCCAAAATTTAGCTATCACAAACCATGCTGCTGTTAACTATGAGTGTGCACATATCACTATGGTATGATGCTTTTAATTTTTTCAAGAAGTTACCCAAAAGGGGAATAGCTGGGTCAAACAGAACATCTAGATTTAGTTTTCTGAGAAATCTCCACACTGATTTCCACAATAGTTGCACCAGTTTGTACTCCTACTTCCACTGACAGTGGGTAAGAGTTCCTTTTTCTTTACAGCCCCAACAGCATGTTATTGGTTGATTTCTTGATGATACTCATTCTTTCTGGAGTGAGATGGAATCCCAGTGTTGTTTTAATTTGCATCTCTTGAATGACCAGTGATGCTTAACATTTTTTCATGTATCTATTCACCATTTCTACTTCTTCATCTGAGAAGTGTCTTTACTTCAGATACCTATTTTTGGAGTGGGTCTTTGGGAGATCTGAGTTTTTTGAGTTCTTTATATATTCTAGATACTCCTGCTTTTCCAAAGAACAGCTGGCAATTTTTTTTTCCACATGGGTTGTCTTTTCATTCTGTTGGTGGTTTCCCTTTCTTGCAAAAGTTTTTTAATGAGATGAGATCCCAGTTGATTTTGTGTGATACTTTCTGTGTTATTGAGGTTTTGTTCATAGTCTTTGTCTACACTAGCATTTTCAAGATTTTTCAGCAGATTTAGTGTTTTTGTTTTAACATTTAGATTTTTTTTAAGTGGGGCACTGGGAATTAATCTCAGGACCCTGCACTTGCCAGGCAAGTGCTGTGCTGTTGAGCTATATACCTGGCCCCATAGGGGCATTTTTTTTTTTGAGACAGGGTCTCACTATGCAGTTCAGGCTGGCCTTGAGCTCACTTTGTAGCCCAGGCTGGTCTGGAACTCACAATGATCCTCCTGCCTCAGCCTCCCAAATGCTGGGATTATAGGCATGAGCCACCATGCCTGGCTTAGGGGCTTCAAGACATGGTTTCACTATGTAATTCAGACTAGCCTTCAAGTAACTATGGAGACTAGACTGGCCTTTATCTTGAACCTCCTGCCTCAGCCTCCTGAATGCTAGGATTACAGATGTGTACCACCAGGCCCACTACTAATGAATTTATAGCTAAATGTAATGAGAGGTTCAGCTTGGTTGAAGGAGGTAGGCCAATGAGGGTGTGGCCTGGGAGGGTGCAGCCCTACTTGCTTCTTGCGGTTATGCTGTGAACTCTGTGCTCTGCCATGTCCTGGTATATCACCCTGCCTTGGAGCCAGTTGAATATGGACTGAAACCTCTACAAACTATGAGTCAAAACCCCTTTTTAAAAGTTATGAGTACTGGGACTGTGTCACAGTGACAAGAAAATAACTTAAGCGGCTAAAACAGAAGGATCACAAGTCTTAAGTCGAGCCTGAGCAATTCAGTGATTTACTGAACTATCTCAAAAAATAAAAAAAGGGTGGGATGTAGCTCAGTGCAAAGGTCTTAGGTTTCATCTCCAGTCCAACAAAACAACTCAATAAGTTAGTGCGAAAATAGGCATGGTGGTGCACACCTGTAATCCCAGCACTCGGGAGGCTGAAGCAGGAGGATTGCCCTGAACTTGAGGCCAACCTGGCCTACATAGTGAGTTCAAGATCAGCCTGAACTGTGGAGGGAGACCCTGTCTCAAAAACCAAAAAACAAAGTTAGTATTAAGTGGCTATTGTGTGCCATGTACTTGGATATGTTAAGAAAATAGAGCTAATGATACTTGTCCTAGCAGATCTGATAACTTGTAGAATAGTATTGTCTAGGAACAAACTTTATAACTCTCATACACCAATTTGTCAATTTGGTGCCCAAGTCAGATGTGGTGGCATATACCTGGTAATCCCAGCACTTAGGAGGATCACTCAGGAGTTCGAGGTCAGCCTGGGCTATATAGCAAGTTCAGGACCAACCTGGACTACTACACAGCAAGACCCTGTCTCAATGCTTTTAGGAACATAAATAGTGTGAGCTAAGATTAGGCTCCCCTGAAGATGGTTTCTCAATTAACTTATGAGACATACTGAAAGTTAAAAGTCACTCTGGGGAGAATAGGAATACAGATTAACAGGAGTCTGCTTGACATATCTTTGAAAATTACTATATATTTTATTTATTTTTTATTTTAAAGATAGTAAAATACAACAAAACAAGAAAGAACAAAGCTAACCAAACAATGCAGTGAAATTGGTTACAGAACTTCAGAGTAGGATACCGGGAAAACAGTAATAGCTAAAATCTTGTTATCTTCACAATAGTTGTCCATTCCATCAGGTAGAGCAAAATCAAATCAAAAACAAAACAATAAAACCAGTGAAAACAGAATATTAAATAAAACAAAACAATCAGAACAAAGCAAAACAGTGACAACAGTATTGGACTTCAAAGACAAAAGGAAATCCCCTATATTTGCTATATTGCATACTGTCATCCTTCAGAGAGATGCTCAGACTGCTGGCCCCAGGCCTGCATAATCAACCAAACAAATAAGAGTTTAGTCCCTTTATGTATATTAGTTACTATCAACTCAGGTTGTCTTTGGAACCATCCAGTTGTTAAGGGTAGGGGGTTGATTTTCAGCCTGTGGGCCAGTAGGCTTGTGCTACTTACCACGGAAGACTGGATCGTTGCTTTCTTGGTGGGCCCCCCAAGTCCTGGCATGGCAGATTCTTGGGAGATGCTCAAAAACAGTGACTAAACCCCTGCTACCATATCTACTAACCTGCACCCACACTATTATTTTGCACTTACAAATTCACACTGACAGTTCACTGACAGAACACTGTCCAGTTCACACCAGTTCACAAAATAAAAGAACTATTCAATACCTTTAAAATAAATAAAAACATACAAAACCTTATTTTCATATAATTTTATTTTCTCCCTTCAACCATAATAATATGATATCCAAATTTTGTCTTAATTGGTGGGTCTGTAAACACAGGCTTATCCATTCCACTCACAGGCAAGGCAAATGCTGCTTCTTGAAATGGTCCTACCATGGACCCTCTGGTCATCCAACCTAAGTCACCCTGAAAAACCAAAAAGATACATTATATAAAGTGGCTCTGAAAAGGGAATTCTACTGTAGTTTGAGAGAATTTCCTACCACGAACACTACACTTACTGGGTGTACTCCCAGCACTGCCTGAACATGGACAAAAATAACTGGAAGAAGTCTAACTCTGAACTGATTACATAAGCACCTCCTATACTGCTGGACTTAGAGCTTAGCTGTAGAAGTTTGATCACACCTCAATTTAGACATAGGTAACTTATTCAACTATTTACAAGCTGGATTTTTTAAAGCAACTACAGAAGTTCTAAGAAATTCATTCATAAATACAAAGAAATGTAATAAATACATGAAAAGTACTTACATGATCTTTTATAAAAACTGAAACATGGATTAAATCAAAATTTTAGGGCCAGGGATATAGTACAGCGGTTACAAATGCTTGCCTGGCAAGCACAAACAAGGTCCTGAGTTTGATTCCTGGTACCAAAAAAAAATTTTTAACACAACCACACTGGGGAGATGGAGCAAATTAAAAGGGGGAGTAATGCAATGGAAAGTAGTTCTTCTGGGAACAGAATTTGCTATTATAGGCAAAGTAGACAGGTACATGCAGTGTTTCATTGTAAGTCCTTTTTTCACTATAAGCCTTTTAGAGCTACTTTATATTTTAAGGAGTTTTTTGGTTTTTGGAGACAGGCTTTGCTCTGTAATTCAGGCTGGACTTGAACTCAGGCTATAGCCCAAGCTGGCCTGGAATTCATGGCATCCTCCTACCTCAGCCTTCCATGTGAGGGGATTACAGGTATGTGCTACCATGCCTGGCTATTATATATATATTTATAATTTATATATATCCAGACTGGGATAAAGCTAATAGAAGTAAGACGATGAAGCACCCATATTTAAAGACAACAACTTTTTAAAAGGATTATTGACAATACTATTATAAGATTTAAGTTTTTGAGGTTGGGGATTTAGCTCAGCGGCATAAGCACCTGCCTTGCAAGCAGGCAGTCGTGAGTTCGATCCTCGGTACCGATAAAAAGTTTAAAAAAAAAAAAAAGATTTAAGTTTTCAATTTTTATTGTCTTTTTGGGACAGGGTCTCACTATGCGGTTAAGGTTTACATTGAGCTCACTTTGTAACCAAGGCTGGTCTTGAACTCACAACAATCCTCCTGCTTAAGCCTCCCAATTGCTGGGATTGTAGGCATGCACCACCACACCAGGCTCAAATTTTCATTTTAAAGATAAATCTATTTAAAAAGTACTTATAAACAAATGAGACATGACTAAAGCTTTTATAGTGATGTTTCCAAATAAATCATTTTAATGCCTACCTTTTTATGAGATTACATTATTATTAAAATTAGTAATTTTCAAGATTCTTATTAATAAATCTTGATTTTTGGTGCAAGTAGAGTATCCCTTGTCCAAAATACATGGGACCAGCCAAGTTTTTGAGGCCATTCTGGACTATATAGTGAGTTTAAGGCCAGTCTGAACTACACAGCAAGATCCTGTCTCAAAAAACAACAAAAAATTCCAAACAAACAAAAATTGGGAACTGAAATATTTCAAATTTTGGGATATATAGATGTACATGATGTGATATTTTGGAGCTGGAACCTAAGTCTAAACATGAAACTCATTTATGTTTCATATAGACCTTATATGCATAATCCGAATACAATTTGATACAGTTATTTTTCATAATGTGCATGAATCATAGTTGCATAGTATGGAATTTTCCACTTGAGGCATTATGTTCGTGCTCAAAGTTTTGTATTTCATAGCATTTTGGATATCTGGATCAGAGATGTTAAGTCTATATACTATACTAAGGCAAGCCCGAAATATGATTTTTCTTGTTCTAGGAATTGAACTCTTACATTCTTGGTGTAACATTTTTAACTTTTTAAAATTTTGAAATGGGATAGCTAAATTGCTAAGCTATCCAGGCTGGACTTGAACTTATAGTCCACCTACCTCACCCTCCCAGTGTTAGGATTATATGACTATGTCATCATACCACATCAAAACATAATTCAAAAGTTAGTTTTCAACTTCTACATACTGTTTTTTAAAATTTCTTGTCTTTGAGACAGGGTTTCACTATGCAGGTCAGGCTGGTCTCTAACTTGCTGCAATCCTCCTGCTTCAGCCTCCTGAGTGAGTATGCCGCCATGCCTGGCTCTATGTACTATTTTATAGTTAAAAGAAATGATTTGGTATTAAGTGATCTATATGGAAAGAATTATAATTTGTACTGCAGATCTTTATTTTACTGATATTTCCATGATGCAACTCTAATCACTAAATTCTTTCTCATCAGTGAAATATATATTTTTCTTCATTCTTGGGCACCGTGCATTCTCTGAGGTTGAGGGGCCCCTGTGCTGTGTATCTCCATTTGGGTCACTGTGTTCCAGGCTGGTGTGGAACTCAGTATGTATTGCAGGCTGGCCTTGGACTCACTCTGTAGCCCAGGCTGGTCTCAATCTTGCAAGGATCCTCCTGTCTCAGTCTCCCAAGTGCTGAGATTACAGGCATGCGCCACCATGCTCAGCTTGAGTCTCCATTTGTTTTGCTCTTTATTATTGGCTTGCTGGAATGCAATGGCTTGACTGAGACTGTCAAGAGCAGGATTTTCCTATTCATGTCACTTTTTCCTACTTCCTCAATTTCTTCTGCTTTGGGGATTTCCTGTTTCTTCTTTCCTTCTTTCTTCTTTGGAGGCTGATATTCTCCAATCATATTATTTGCACAGGCATAACTTAAGTGTCCACTTTCCCCACATTTGTAACACTTAGATTTATCAAAGTACTTCTGCCTCAGATGAATTCAGCTGCTCTTTCATTATCAATAGCAATGCTTGCTTTTATTACTCAACAAATGACTATTTGTTTTTTATGGCTCTGGTGCAATTTTGTGTACTTTATCCAAAAATATAAATGTAACCCCTTTATTTTTCCTCATCTTTATCTCTCATTCTAGTAACCTTCACAATTTTGCCATACTTGGAAAATATCTAATATGTTATGGTTCATCAGGAAAAAGGACAAGTTGAACACATACACTGTTCTCTTACCTGGAGCCAAGCCATTATTTATTTCTTCAGGCAGGTCAGGCATCCCAGAGCTGAGACTCAACCCCAACACCTAACGTCTCATAGTGGCCCCAGAATCCCATTCCTCCCTGAACGGGGGCAATCAGTACACAGAGACCAGGTGGTTGCAGCCTGAACATTTATTTTCTTTTCTTTCTCTCCTTTGTTTTGGAGGGGGAGCACTGCAGATGGAACCCAAAGCCTTGCATTTGCTAGGCTCTACCACTGAGCTGTTTCTCTAGCCTTACAAGTTGGATTGTTCTGCTTTTAAGTTTTGGGAGACAAGTTGAGACAAGGTCTCATTATGTAATTCAGGCTGGCCTTAAACTCACAGCAATCTTCCTGCCTCAGCCTGCCAAGTGCTGGGATTATAAAATTGTGCCATTATGCCTGGCTGAGATTTTTTTTTAACAGTACTGAGATTTGAATTCATTGCCTTTGCCTTGAGCTACATCCTCAGCCTTTTTTTTTTCATTTTGAAACAGGGACTTGCTAAATCACAAATTTGTCCAGGCTGGGCTCAAACTTGTAAGCCTCCTGACTGCTTCCCAGAGTACTCTTAAGATCTTTAAAACAAAACATAGTTAAAGTTAGTGACAAAACATAGAAGGAATTCCTGCTTTTGTGTTTCCTCTGTGGAGGGTACAAAATTTTAAATGATAAGAGCAACATACCCCTTGCCTGGCTTTATCTTCACTATATTGTGTGGCCACTTCATTGAATCTCATTCCAGACTTTAACTTCTCCATGGCTTCCATAATTTTGCCGTGTTTTTCACATAGAATGTGCCGCACCTACAAAGAAAAAACATTTTCATGTAATACCTGGAGATTCAAATGATTCTTCTCAGAATACTGGCTAATTTGAGTTATTCTCTTAAACTGGGCATGGTGGCGCACACCTGTAATCTAGTACTAGGGAGGCTGAGATTAGAAGACTACCATGAGTTCAAAGCTGGCTTGGACTATATAGTAAGTTCAAGGCAAGCCTGAACTGCATAGCAAGAGCCTGTCTCAAAAAACAAAAACACAAAATGAATTATTCTCACCGGTTTTTAAAAAAAAAACCCATTAGCTTGGGGCAACTGAAAATCCTACAAATTTGCCCATTTTAGTGACTGCCACAAATCCATTTCCTGAATCTAGACAATATCTCAGATTTCTGATTTAGCTGCATGTGGTAGCACATGCCTGTAATCCCAGTATACTAAGTCCTTGACCTACAAAGATTTGAGTTGTGAATTTTTAGATGTTAACGGACTTCACATTGTAAGCATTCATAGAGGTGAACAAATCACAGTAGTAGCTTACATATCTGCTGGATGTTGTCACAGTTGTGCTGCTGTGTGCTTGCAGTGCAGTGTGATAGTATACATTATTTTGGTGTGTTTCTTTTTTTATGCTTTACATTGTATATCTGTATCAAAGGTGTATAAGACTTAGTTTGTCAGACTTCGAATTAATCCAACTAAGAACATTCTTCTGGAACAGGACTCATTCATAAGTTGGGAACTTACTGTGCTCTGCAAGGCTCAGGTTACAGGAGGATCACAAGTTGTGGCCTAGCCTGTATAACTTACCTCAGTGTGAAAAGCCTAGGTACAATTTCCACTACTGGGAGTTAAAAAAAAAAAAAAAAAAACCTTAGATGAAAAATAGGCACCTGGCTGTGGGACGTTCTTATCTGTAACCATGTAACTCAATGGAAACTAAACGGACACATGATTTTATGGTTGAGAGTTTTGGTCCAGGAGACCAATCTCAACTGTGTTTATGTGTCAAGATTTGATATAAGGCAGCTAACAGTCAGTTAAATGTTGGCTACTATTTAATCAGAGTTGAAATATGAAAATGCCCACTAGTAACTATTTCTTATCCAAACAGGCCTAATGTATAAACCACCCATAATTTAATTTTTAAAATTTTATCTTTCTAAAAATTTATTTTTTATTTTTTGTCTTTTTCCTTTTTATCGGTACTGGGGATCGAACTCATGACTGCCTGCTTTCAAGGCAGGCGCTTATGCCGCTGAGCTAAACCCCCAGCCCCTAAAATATTATCTTTTTGAAACAAGGTCTTCATATATAGTTCAGACTGGCCTTGAACTCACTTCATAGCCCAGGCTGGCCTTGAATTTGCAACTATCCTCCTACCACAACGCCTGGCTAAACCACTCATAATTTAACTCTTTTTTTGGTGGTTCTGGGGATTGAGCAGGACCTTCATACTAAGCTACATCTCCAGCCCTTTTTATAAAAATTCTGAGACAGGGTCTCACTAAATTGCTGAATTGAACAGGCTGGCTTTGAAATTGCCATCTTTCTGCCTCAGCTTCCCAGACTTCTGAGATTGTAGTCCTATACCCACACCCAGTAGCTAATTCAATACTTTACAAAAGCATCACATGGGAAGTGTGGTGGCATACACCCATAATCTTAGCACTGAGAGAGGCCAAATCAAGAGTATCAAGTTTGAGCTCAGCCTGGGTAATTCAGGGATTTAGTGAAACCCTTTCTCAAGATAAAGTTTTTCAAAAAGGGTAGGGAATGTAGCTCAATGCAAAGGCCCTAGATTCAATTCCTAGCAGTGTCGCCACCAAGTATCACAGGTTGAATATTAAGAGTACTCAACACTATAGAAGTATTCAGTATAACCTTATTCACAGAGAGTCATAGTTTTTTTTTTTTTTTTTACACTTTTTTTTTCTTTTTTTCTTTTTATCTACCAGGGATCGAACTCACGACCACCTGCTTGCAAGGCAGGTGCTTATGCCACTGAGCTAAATCCCCAACCCCGAGTCATAGTTTTTTTAAAAAAAAAAAAAAAACCTATACCCTTACATCCTTACAAATGATTTTGTCATAATTTGTTTTAGAAGGCTTCACATTTTTCATGAAAACACAATCAGTTATTTGTGTTACACTGTAAGTGTTACAGTGGGGTAGGGCCTAAAGTTTCTTCATCATACTTTAGAGATAAATGTCCTTAGGGCTACTGAAATGGAACAGGGTGGAAATGGAGATTCACCTTGGCCCCAGGAACAACATCCTGACCAGTGGAGATATGACCTCATCTTGGCCTGGCTGAGGCTTCTAGATTGCTCCTCTCTTCTTTCACACTCACAGAACAACCTCCTTCCATCTCAGTAGGAAAGTGCACATTCCACTCAGGACCACAGAAAGGGGCAACTACCCGCCATATTATCAATGAAGAACCTAGTATTCTGATTTGAACTGTGTGACACAGTAAGTTTACAGTATCTGTGGGGTTTGTAAGGATGATTACTGTTGAAGCTTGGCATAACTGATGCCATCTTGAGCTCTGCATTTAACTAGTGCCCTGTATTTGACCCAAGAGAATGAAAAATTACCTAGAGTTCAATCCTATAAGAAAAGCAAAATGAGCTGCACCCACAAGAGAAAAATTAACCTGCTCAACAAAGAAGCATAATACAGGTGTCAACCAAAAATTAATGTAAGATTCTAGCTAAATTATTTCTAAGAGGATGTCTTTTTGTGGTTTTCTGTTTTAAAAGCTCTGTAACTTTCTAGTTCAGGACCACTTGGTGGGACTCTGAAACAGGGATCTATATGCGAGTGGTCCTGAGTCTAGCTAATAAAATTACAAAGTTATGAATTTGGCTGCTTGGATTCCTATATTGTTCACAAACCTACTTCAATAACCAATTAAAGCACCTGTGTCTTGGAGCAAGCCAAACTACAGCTAAAGTTCAAGAGTGGTGAGCACAGAGGAGGTAGCTGAAGGTGTAAGAGGTGTGTGTGGAATTACCCCGAGAGACTGCAGAATAAGAGGAAAGGAAGTTAAAATAACCTTGGAGAACACCAATGTCTAAACAACAAGCAAAGCAAAAATCTCAAAAAGTATAACAAAATGGAAAGGCAAGTAGGTACTAAAGAAAGGTGTGTTAGAAATAAGGCAGTAAAAAAATTGGGGCTACTGATATAGCTCAGTGGTACAGCTTGCCTAGCATGCACATGGCCCTGGTTTCTTTCCCTAGTACAAAACAAACAAACGAATAAATGAACACACATACACAAGTCAGGAAAAAGTTTCACAGAGTAAACAGAAATTGTTAAGAGGGTTAAGTGCCACAGAGATATCATGTAAGAAGAATAAGACTTTTAACCACAACTGGTACAGGGATTAAACTCAATGGTAGAGCCTTGTCTAGCATGCATGGGCCCTGTAACACTGCAGCCCAGTGTGGTGGCGCACACCTGTAATATCACCACTCAGGAGGCTAAGGCAGGAGGACTGTGGCAAGTTTGACAGCCTAGGCTACATAGTAAGTTCAAGACCAGTTTGAACTATTTATTGATTCCAACTCAAAACATTTTAACAAAAAACATCTCTGCATTGCCAAACAACAACAACAAACAAAACCAAAACAAAAACACAATGACTAATTAGTAAAAGGAGTTTCAGAACTACAAAAGCTAGCTTGGTATGGTGGCACATACCTGTAATCCTAACACTCTGGGAGGTTGTGGCAGGAGGATGAAAAGTTCTAGCCCAGGCTGGGCAACTTAGTGATGCCTTGTCTCAAAACAAAAAATAAAGGGCTGGGATGTAGTAGCTCAGAGTAAAGGTCCTGGGTTCAATTCCCAATGTAGGAAAAAAAAAAGAGAGGAGCCAGGACACAGGCTGAGGAAGCAACAGGAAATGGAAAGGTAACATACAACATGGGGCACTCATTCGCCCAGTTTACTTGAAAAATGGCAGGGCAGCTGGGTGCAACACATACCTGTAATCCCAGTGCTCAGGAAGCTGAGGTAGGAGGATCACAATAAGGTCAGGGCTGGCCTGGGCTACATAGTGAGTTCAAGGCCAGCCTGAATGAGACTAGATCAGTGTTTTTCAACACTGAGAGCACATCTGAATAGTCTAGTTTCTAAAAAGATATCAAGGTCCAATCTAGGTGTAATAGTACGTGCCTGTAATTCCAGCATTTGGAGTCTGAAACGCGAGAATCACTATGAATTCAAAGCCAGCCTGAATTACATAGCAAGAGCCTGTCTCAAAAGACACCAAAAAAATACAAGGGTTCATGCCCCACTCCCAGAGATTTTGATGCTGTTGATCTAGGGCAGTGGCACACATGACACAGTGGGGCTACCTATATCATTAAAAGCTATAAAAGGTTTGCCATCACTGATAGGGTAACCCTCAACATCAGTTAAGTTTTAGAAGTTCTACAGGTGAAATCTGATGATTTCAACTCCAAACAGTCAAGACTGAGACCCACTGGACTAAGTCATCTGCTGACTGACCAGAACAGGGTAGAGGACAGCTTGAAGCAATGGTGAAGCACTGCTAAGCACTGCTGAGGGCTGAGCCGAGGTAAGAGTCCCTAAAGCCCCAGGTTATGGAACTCTCCAAAAGGGTCCAACAGTCCTGGGTTTCAGAGAAGAAAAACAAACAGACCCACTAGACTGATGCTGACTGACTTGGCAGGTGGAGGCAACAAAATGACACTGGGGCACCTTGAGCTAAGGATGAGGGCTTAGAGCTAATTTCCAAATCACAGGAAATGCAGAGACCAAAGAAACATGAAGGCTGGGAGAAAGCCGGGGAGTGGGTGGACTCGAGGGTCTGGAGTCTGAGAATAGAACAGGAAGGGAAAAGGAGAAAGCTGTGGCTAGTAAGTGGGTTTCTGAATCTGTGCAGCTCATGGTGACATGAGAGCAGGGTGGGGGTAGACGAGCAGGGTCTGAAACAGTGACAGGATGTGGAAGGAGCAGACATCAAGGATGGATGCTCCTGTCATCCCTTCACTGGTGGGGCCTTGGAAAAACACTAAAAATAACGCAGGTGTTCTTCAATAGGTGAGTGGTGTAACACTATGCACTGCTGCGCCACAGACTCCCATCAGACAGTACAAACGAACAATCTCTTGATATAGTGACTTGAATGAAATCTCTAGAGAATTATCCTGGGTGGAAAAACCAATCCCCAAAGATTACATACCGTATGACTTTATTCCTTTAACATTTTTGAAATTATAAAATTATACAAATAGTTGCTGCTATGGGTTAAGAACAGTGTAGACATTAGGGGCAGGCAGGAAGTAGGGCCAATTATAAAAGGTTGAAAGATACACAACAGATAGGTGGTGGTTTTTTATTTTTACACATTTTTCCCCTTTGGATTTTTGAGACATGGTCTCACTACGTGACACAGGCTGGCCTCAAACCCAAACTCAATCTCCTCCTACCTCAGACTTCCAAATACTGGTATTACAGGCTCTATTCTGGATCTTGACCCTATCAAGCCAACATCCTGACTGTGCTATTGTGCTACAGTTCTGTAGGATGTTATCACTAAGTGAAATGAGGTAAAAGACAGTTGTATTATTTCTTGCAACTGCATATGCATCTATGATTATCTAAAAAAAAACTAAATAAAAAGCAACCTAATCTAATCTCCCTCCTAATTATATGCCACTCCTTTCCAATACCTTTCTAATACCTTATATATATAGCCACACTGGACTTAATTTTTCCAGAGAGATAAAATGCCTCTTGCCTCTTTAAAATGATATACAATGGAACAATCTTAGGTGTTTACAAAGTCAGCACATTAGGTGACATATATCCAAAATGACCTTAGAACAGTGGTGGTGAACCTATGGCACGTGGGCTGAGCTTCTGTTATCATTTTTTTTCTAATTTTAAAGATAGTAAAATCCAACAAAACAAGACAGAACAAAGTCAATGAAACAAATGCAGCAAAACTGGTACAGAGCTTCAAAGCAGGATATTAGGAAAACAATAGCTGCCATAGTACATCTTGTTATCTTCACAACAGTTGTCCATTCCATCAGATATAGCAAAATCAAGCCAAAAACAAAATAGAATAAAGCCAATGAAAACAATGTTGAATGAAGCAAAAACAATCAGAACAAAGCAAAAGCGTGAAAACAATATCTGGCTTCAAAGACAAGAGAGAAGGAAATCCCCCATATTTGCTGTATTGCATTCAGTCATCCTCCCAAGAGATGCTCAGATAGCTGGCCCCAAGCCTGCATAATCAACCAAGAAAACTAGACTGATAACGCCCTCCCTCCTTCCCAGAGTCTAATACATTGCATGGTACAGGGAACATGTCACTAAATCCTTACTGAACGAATAAATCAAAATACAGGCTTCCATGTCCTGACTAACATATGGAAGTTGCCTCAGTATATAGCACAACCTGTTTTCAGGTTAGCTTTCCTCTTGGCAGACACTCCTCTGGGCCTAGGTTAAGTACTGCAAGTAAATACAGTATCTGTTGATTGTCTTCCACCCTGTTTTCACAGTCCAGGGCCTGGCTTGTAGCTCACCAGTGGGGGAGCTTCCTAATGAGATCTGTGCCTTTGTCAGTTTAGCAGAGGAGCCTTTTAGCACTTATCTAAGCTCCTGATTCCATAAAGGCATCTTGAGAACAACTCATTGGAAGAGTTAACAATACATTTTAAGGAATAGTACTCAAAGTATAAAGAAATCCTAGTAATTTCAGAAAAAGTATTTGAGAAAATATTTAAAAGGAATTACTTTTTTATTTTAAAGAGAATAAAACAAGATAACGAGATTAACAATGGTTAATATATTGTATACTGTTATCTTCAAAGTAGTTGCTCAGATTATAAAAAAAAACAGGCATGAAAAATCGATTGAACAATATAAGCACAAACCTTTCTTTTCAATGAACTAATGGGAAAAAATGCTAATTAAATTTTGGGCCAGGGATATAGCTCAGTGTCATATGGAAAATGCAAGGTTGTGAGTTAGAGTCCCAGTACCAAAACAAAACTCCTCAATGAACTAACAGAAATTAGTAGAACAATTATCTCAGCTATCTTGTGTGTATATACATATATATATATATATATATATATGTGTGTGTGTGTGTGTGTGTGTGTGTGTGTATATATATTTCTTCTTTTCTTTTCTCTTCCTTCTTTTCTCCTTTCCTCCATCCCAGTTCTTTCCTTTTAAGCCGTTTTTCCCCCTTTACAATATCTATTGTACATCTTGGATCTTATTTACTCTTTCGGTTTCTTACACTAGGAGACAATATGTTATTTGCACATGTGAGTCTGATTTATTTCACTCATGAGTATGGTCTCAAGTTGCATAAACAGAATTACTTTTCATAAACGAGCCTGGTTATTTTCCAATTCTGTGTCACCTTGGTTTTACATCAGTGTTAGGTTAGTGTCTTAGAATGAGTTAAGTATATCTTTTATGTGTGTGTATATATATATATATATATATATATATATACATACATATATGTGTATGATTTATATTTAACATGGGAAAAAAGGAACTAGTGAATTAACTCACCTTTACTGCATTGCCACCACATTTGGGACCCTTAGCCTTCTTGTCAGCACTATCACTCCCAGCAGCTGCTCCTCCTTTAGAGAAGAGGTAACAAGCAGTCATGAAATTGTATCTTGATATTTACAGCAAGGTCCAACACACAGCATAAGTTGATATGCGTCATAGCACCAAGCTTCAAAAGGGAACTCTGCCAGACACTTTACTATAGCAAGCTAAATGAATCTGTGACTCATACCTCTTAAAATAGGAAATTTGTGCCCTATGTAAACACTTCATGGGAAATGGATCTATAAATGAGTGTGCTAATGGATAAATTCAAGCTCTAGAAGCCTGGGCCAGATTTTTCTGGACCCAATTTCAAATCATGCCTTGTAGCGGCAAACCCCTAAGCTCTTGTAAGACTTCTAAAATGTATTACAACTATAGATTTAAGCAGTCATAAGTCTAATAAGTAAAATCTCCAAGAATATGTTAAACATATTTGGCTAAAGAATATATTCATTTCCAAATTCCCAGAGTCTACTACATCACCTATTGAAGTCTTCCTAAGAAGAGGCACTGGTGCTCAGATTAATAACCATGGGTAGCATCTTACATTTTGCTCCTGTGTCATTTTACTCTTGTTAACGTCTGTCTCAGAAGCAGCATACACTAGACAGGCTGATGCTCATAAGAACTATAGCCAGGTTAAGTGTTCCTAAATAAATACTAAGGTCCAGCTATTGGGGTACAAAGAAATGAAAAACAAGCCATGAGAACTCATACTCTAGTGGGGAAGACAGATCACTTCTGGAGAATGCACAAGTGCAGAGAAGGTTAAGCACAGAGGGCCATGGACGCAGAGAGACATTTAAATAGATAGGTAAGGTTTCCTGGCTGACCAGGAGGTGGCTAGGTAAACACAAGAAGATGCTTCAGGATGGGAGAAATAGCATGAAGCCAATTTCGGAGTGAAAGTGCCATCAGAGGAACCTGCTAGGGTAGGGAAAGGTGGGGACATAAGACCTTTGGATCCCCAAACTTGGGTTTTTATTATGCTGAGGATTGAACTCAAGGCCTCATATGTTTGGCAAGCATTTTATCACTGAACTATATCCCCAGCCTGAAACCTGGAGTTTATCCTAGAAGTAATAGGAAGCCAGGGAAAAATTTTAAGCAAGAGACTCTATCTTACTTGTCTCAGTACAGGTTAAGTATCCCTAATCTGAAAATCTGAAATCCCTTTTGGATTTTGAGTTTAGACAATCAACCATAAAGTCTACACAAATATCCCAAAATTCAGACAAATCTCAGATCTGAAACACTTCTGGTCCCAAGCAGTTTGGATAAGGTATATTCAATCTGTATCTCTAATGTCTAGAACAGTACCCAAAATAAAACAGGTGCTCCACAAATGTTCAATTCAACAGAAAACCCCAAACACTGACCACTAAAACCAAGAAAATGTTACCATCAAGTTTTTTAAAGCCAAGCTATTATCTGGGTTTGCTGTACAGACATTTTTTTCAGTATGGAGGATTGAGCCTACGCCCTCCAGCATGTTAGGCAAGTGCTCTACCACTGAGCTACATTCCCAGACCTTTTTATTTTTTGAGACAGGCTCTTGCTAAATTGCCCAGGTTGGCTTTGAATTTATAATCCTCCTACCTCAATCTCCTGAGCCCACTGTGCCCAGCTGTATTTACTCAGGAAAGCTGACACCTTACAGCATTTCATCTTCTCCCCTCCTAGTCACTGCTTCTAACTTCCACCTTGCTCTGTGATTTACTCAGGACTCTGATATCTACTTTAGGCATTCTCTCCACCCTCACTCCTGCCACCATTTTGGGTGATCACCCACCACCCAATTCAGCAATCTCATCCAACAATTTAATTCCTCAAATGCCCACGTGCTCTACTGCAGGCTTCCTGCCTCAGAGGCACATGACAGAACTGTGCCACTCATAACTAGTGTTCAGTTCCTGCCTACAACCTCTTCCAGCTTCCCCACACCTCATTTTCACAATGCCGGTTCTTTGACGTCATAGAATACCATTGCCACTACTAAGTCTTCCTATCCTGCTGAATTCCCATTCAAACTTCTGTCCCAATCTGGATCATGCTTGCACATCTGAATTGCATTCCCACTGGAATCTTAATTTCTTTGTGTTGCTACCCTATTATAACTGCCCAACAAAACCCTAGCCCTAGCTCTAGCTACACCTGCTTCTTATCATTTGTACAGTTGCATTTGTACAGTTGCAAGGTACCATGTAAATTATGACTGTGTAGATTATGCATTCTACAAATTCACGGCCTTCAATTTGTCAGGATTCTAGCCTTGAAGGCAATTCCCGTATTTGTGTTTCATTCCTTCTCCCATTACCATATTCCAAACCTTTACCACTCTCCTCAAGACCCCTACTGAGTCCTTGCTCCCTCAGTCTTTTAAAAAAATACTTGCCTTCACTTCATTAAAAAATTGGTGTCGACATGATCTCCCAAACTTTGCCCCTTCCTCTGTTCTGGCTCCAGTACTCACAATCAAATACATCCTGTCTGTTTCTCTGTGAGGAGCATAAAGCTCCTATTCAAAAGTCGGATGATCCTAATTCCTGGACTCCCTCAATCTTCTGTACCTTTGCCTCTGGATCCTTTACATCAGCCTCACTCAAGTTTTCTTATTTTGAAGAAATGAAAACAGTCTCCTAATCCTTCATGGTCTATGTACCATTCCATTCTCGAGATTTTCTTTTTTTTTATTTTATTTTTTTTTGTCTTTTTCCTTTTTATCGGTACCAGGGATCGAACTCGCGACTGCCTGCTTGCAAGGCAGGCGCTTATGCCGCTGAGCTAAATCCCCAGCCCCTGAGATTTTCAATTAAAACTTTCCAGAGAAGTCCACGCTGTTCCAACACTTCCCAGTCAGTCCTCTAGTCACTGCAATCTGGCTCTAGCCATTCTGAGACTTGCCTAAGCCACCTCTAATTTTTAAAGCTAAACAGTATTGTTTTCTGTCCTTTCATTTGGTTGCTCTGCTGTGCTTGATAGTTCTTTAAAAATTTCTGATTTCATTCTACTGCAATCCCTTGATCTTCCTCTGCCCTGGGTTCCACACTTTACTGTTAGTTCAGACCACCACTAGCTCTCACCAGGACTACTGTAACAATCTCCTTGTCGGTCTTCCTGACCCATAAGCAAACTCCATAGCATCATATATAACATTCTGCATGATTCTGTTTTTGTTTTGGCTTCTTGTTCTAGCAAAAATATACCGCACAATTTATACTGTTTTTCATCCTAGTGCCTTTGCTGTTGGATCCTTTGAGGAATGCTTTGCCCTACCTTCACTATCCATCTTGGCATGCAGAACTTATCTCTCAGCACTGTATTTAATATAGTACTTTATGGTTACTATGCTTCTATCTCCCCCATTACTTTGGCGGCTCCAAGATGTCTTTACAGCTCTAAGAACCCCTAGAAATGGCAGCCCCACCCTCGTGATCGCCTCTGAGAAACGACCTTTACTAGCTTGTAGTACCCATCAGGACGGTCCCTGCGCCCATACCCCAGTGCATTCCCACAGCTGCAAACAGTACTTGTTCTAAGCCTCACCAAAGCCTTTGACATAATGGATGACAGCCCCGTAGGGTGACTGGGCACTACTGTCTCTGTCTGGGACCCTGACACTCGCCTGTCTGCTCTTTCCCCTGGCTTCACCCACTCTCACTATCCCTGATTGTTTTGGTAGCTCTACCTTTCCCATCTTTTCCACAATTCTTTCCTTTGGGCGGCATCTTGGGAATTTGCCGTTGAACTCTCAACTACTGTTCTGGTAGCCGTAAAAAAGCCCCTTCAGGCCCCACGAGTACGTCCTAAACAATGCCTGAAAGCAGCACTGCAATAGAGCTTCTCGCTGCTCCGAAGCAGGCACAGCTTGGGGCAGACCCACTTCATTCGCTTTTGGACCAATGGGGCAGAAGAAAAACTACGGTCGAGGGGCGGGGACAAGGGAGGGGTTGCAGTGAATTAGCCCGCCTCTGACCTTTTTTTTTTTTTTTGTACGGAGGCTCGAATTTACTGTCATGAGCTTGCCAGGGGGAGGCGCTTGTGCCGCTGAGCTAAATCCCCTGCTCTACGCTTTTTAAATTTACGTTTTGTTTGTGCTTTTGAGACAGAGTCTCATTAAGCAGTTCATGCTGGCCCTGAACTCACTATGTAGCCCAGGCTTCCCTCAAACTCTTGGTGATCTGCCTGCTTCAGCCTCCTGAGTGTTGAGATCACAGGCGTGTAGCGCGGTTATCTGTGCGCTCCTTGTTTGTTATGCCTTTATTTACAGCAGCTTCCTCATTCTTCTTGCTCCCTCGCCACTTCCTTCAGGCGTGCGCAGTGACAGCCCTATGCGCCTGTGAGCCCTGAGCCTCTGCAGTCTCTGGGCGCTGGTTTTTGCCAATCCCGGGGGACCCAGACAAAGGGAAAGTAGGAAGAGCCTCGGGCCTTGACGTCCCTGCTTTTGCGTCCTCCACAGAAGCCTGCCGTCCCTGTTTTTCGTCTTTAAATTTTATATTGCAGCTGTAGCTAGTTGAGTTCAAAAGATTTTTTTTTTTTTTTTGAGACAGGGTCTCGCTATGCAGGTCAGGCTGGCCTTGAGCTCACTTTGCAGCCCAGGCTGGTCTCGAACTCGCAACAATCCTCCTGTCTCAGCCTCCCGAGTGCTGGGATTACCGGCATGAGCCACCACGCCCGGCTAAGATTTTTTTTAAAAGTATCACCTCCCTTCATGTTGTAGAATTTATTCAAGGAGAAACATTGGAAGCAGTCTAAATGCTCTTAGGTAGGGTATTAGAGTGGCACCTCGGTTCATGAATTAAATTATTTCCACCATTCTGGTTGCAACCTGAACTAGACGAGAACCAAGTCAAATTTCCCCATGAAGTCCAATATTGATTGGATTTAACCATTTAATTTGATTTGGTTCTAATCCAGTTTGGTTTGTGACCTGAATCACGGAAGGAATCAAATTTGTGAACCGAGGTAACACTGCATTTAAGTGGTGTTTCAGTCACACAAAAGGATATTACTATACACTATTTAAAAACAACAATGTAAGATTCTGAACCATTTTGGGTCCAGGCTACTGCTTGACTCTACAATCAAAACGCCAGTTAAGATCTGCAAAAATAATACTGTAGAATGACAATTGGAAGACTATGTGTACAGATGGGGGACTAGTCTAAGGAACCCTACACATCAAGATGTATAATATTCCTTTTTTTAAAAAAACTATCCTGTACTGTATAATATATCCAAAGGACAGGCAGAAAGCTGGACGTGGTGGTGCACACATGTAATCCCAGCAGAGACTGAGACAGCAGTTCGAGTCCAGCCTGGACAACCTGCTGATGCAGTGAGGCCCTGTCTCCACATAAAAAAATGAAGCTGGATGTGGTGCACATCTGTAATCCCAGCACTCGGGAGGCTGAGGCAGGAGAATCGCTGCAAGATAGAGGCCAGCCTAGGCCACATAAACAAGTTCAAGACCATCCCACACTATGTAGCAAGACCTTGTCTCCAAAATAAATAAATAAATAAGGATTGGGGATATAGCTCAATTTGAAAGCCCTGGGTTCAATCTTCACTACCATTAAGTACATACATACGTACATACATTCATATATACATAAAGCCAGTAGCATTGGTGCATGTCTGTAGTCTATACTGGGTAGCTGGATCAGGAAGATGCAAATTCAAGCCTAATCTGGGCAATTTAGCAACTTTTTGAGACCCTGTCTCAAAATAAAATTTAAAAAGGGCTGGTCATGATGGCACATGCCTGGAAGCCCAGCACTTGGGAGGCTGAGGCAGGAGGAGGTTTGCTATTTGAGAGTAGCCTGGGCTACATAGTGAGTTCAAGACCAGTGTGAACGACATGGCAAGACCCTATCTTTTAAAAAGTACACATATATACATACATTCATGACTGGGAATGTTTGAAGGTCCTGGGTTCAATCCCCAATGCCACACACCCAATGTATGGATGCTAGAACCAGATTACCTGATTTCAGATTCTTCACCATCTGTATACTGGCTCTGTGATCTGGAGGAAGTTACTTCACCTCTCTTTGGCTTAGGTGTCAACATCTGTGAAATGAAGTTGATGAAAATAGCGCCTACATTGCATTAAGAGAACTAAACAAGATCCTGTCTGTAGAATATGTAAGATAGTGTCTATAGCTCATAGTTAACGTTAAGATGAATGAGGTTTGAATTTGTACCTCCACATTTTTTTCTCTCCTTACTCAAACCCTCTCTCCTCCACCAGTAATTTGTATATAATGCTTTTCCTGCATTCCATGAGACAGCTGTTTGATTTGCCACTGCCAGCCAAAATACATAATTCCACCAGCTGGGAGTCTATGATTTGTCTTCCTTTAGTGCTGAGGATGGGACCTAGGGCCTCAGGCGTGTTCAGCAAACAGCTCTACTACTGAGCTACACTCTCAACTCCTATTGCTTTTTTTTTTCTAGTACTGAGAATTGAACCCAGTTGCATTCTACCACATTCTACCATTCTATCCAGCCCCTTTTTATTTTTATTTGGAGACAGAGTTTAGGTTTTGAATGCAATATTTTTTGGAATTGCTTCATGCCCAAACCAGAGTCACATATTTCTGAGGCTGCAACCATCCCCAAATCAAACATAAAAGGAGCTCCTTATGCTATACCACTTGACTTCTAAACACATCTTGCGCACTGTTCATTTTGGATTGGGAGTGATCAGCTGTGGAGAATGCATTCAGTGCTAAGGCAATGTTTGCTTCCCCATGTTTGAGATAGAACCAGCCTCTGTACTGACTTTCCAGATCCAGACCAGATTTAAGAACTTAAAGTGACAGCATGGCCTCACATTCATGGTCAGGAGCCCCAGCAGGCTCCTTTACTTCTGATTTGTCATTCAGAACAACCTTTCCTGTGACCAGCAACTATGGCAGTCATGAGTTGAAATGAAAAACAAACAAACCAAAAAACAGAGTATAAAGCCCAATTAATAGCTAACATGAATGGCTAATGTACCTCGCAAATACTTAGTGCCTGAAGCATTGTGGAAGCTCCATGCATCTTAGCAGATAATAATAGCAGCAATGGCTGTGTACCTAGCTAAATTTGTCAAAAGCAGCGCCTAAAAGCCAGCAGTTCCAAGGAGAGAAAGATAAGTATAGGTCTGCTGGGGACTCAAGGGCAGAAGCATTTTGAGACATTCAGATACAAAATCATGTATAATCTCAACTATGCAGTATGTATTGCAGAAAGATGAGATGGGAAATATAAACTTTAATTTTTCAGTGTTCTAGAATGTGCATTTATGCCTAACATCCATTTTCTTCTATTTATATCCTATTCTATTGCTTGGCATTTTTTATTATTTAAGTAAAAAAGTAATAAATATTATTTGAGAAATAACAAAAAAATCTAGCTTCTCTACAGGGTTAAGTCTGCACCAGTCTGCAGAGGCAGACCGTGGGGGAGTCTGTGAAGCAGAGTGACAAATTAACTGGAGAGAGGGTAGGGGGAGCAAAGAGGAGGAAGATTCAGCCTTGAAACCATGGTAACATCTGCTGGAGTGTGCAAGTGACTCAGAGCCAGTAATGGCTGCCAATTGTATTTTCAACTAATTATCGTCTCAGAGTGAGGCTCTACACATTACTTAAACAAGGATAATCAGGAAAGGAAGCTGGCAGCCTTCTTCGCAGTACAGAGGTTCACAAATCTTGGCCCAGACTCAATGCCCCACTCCAACTGCTCTAAAACCAAAGGACTGATGCTGTCTTTCCTACTTGAGACAGCAGCAGAGCTTATTCTGAAAGGGAAACTTGAAGCAACTAAATGCAGACACCTAGTCGATCCCATTCACAGGTGGTCAATGAAGATGGCTTTGGCTCCAGACTCAGGGAATGAAGATAGAAAAAATCACCATTCCAAATTGAAACCTGGAAAAAAATCAGAAAATGGTAGATGAGATCAGCAGCCGGCAAATGTAACCCCCTACCACGGCAAATAGATGCACGTCTATTGCTGATAGACTGATGTGGCTCCCTGAGTATAGTCAGTGATTAAAACATTTTCTAACTCACTATGATATTGTAACGGGGCAAGCATGAGATCCTGAGGCTTCGAGTGACTGGTTTTTGAAAAGAGCTTCAGAGAAAACTCCATCCATGTTTTCCAGCATTGCATAAACAACAAACAGACAAACAAGCAAACACTAGAGTTTCTAGAAGGCATGACTATTGCAGGTCTAGTGAGGTGGATTTTTTCAGAGGCAGTGTTCATTTGAGACCATGGAAACAGTGAGCATACAACGTTTATACACTATGGGGAAGGAGGTTTCCTCCATGACGTCTTTTAGGTGTGCGTTGTTTTGTTTCCATTATTCCAGATTTTATTATAAGATGGAATCCAGGACCTCACATATGCTAAGCAGCTGCTCCACCACTGAGTTACACCTCCAGACAGTTCTCCGTTAGTCTTCACAACAGCCTTATTTGAAAATTATAATGATTATCATTTTGGAGCTGAATAAACAGGCTCAGAGAAGTCAAGAAATGGGCCTAAATTTTCACAGGATCTGTGGCAGGATTGGGCTCTGAACTCAAATCGGACTTCCAGTCTGGTAGCCTCGCCAGGATGCTATACTGCTCAGGCTTTGCTATTTCCTACGTTAAATCCAAGAACATTCAGTTCTCTTTGTCCTAAGCGTGTTCACCAAGGCAGCTACCTAAGGACATGAGGCCTGTAGAGGGACACTGTGCAGGAGGCAGTGGCATGGGGCATAATCAGTTAGTCCTTGGTTTATGCATCAGTGTGTTGGTTATGAGTAACACAGAACTGGGAGAGCAATGGGTAGAGCACT